CAAATGCATGAATATACCAAATGGATTAATAGATTTTATAATATACCAAATGGATTAATAGATTTTATAATTCAGAATGCACTTAAACTGTTGTTCCACTAGAGGAGGTGCTTAATATAAATATAATAAGAATACAAACAAAATAAAAAATATAAAATTACTAATAAAATATAAGGAAAATATATACAATAAGAAAAGTAAATAAAATTCATATATACCACAAAAGAACAAAAGACATCATTCTCAGAATGATGAAAAAATCCTATACTCACAGTACAGGATATCATATAAAGATCTCAAGGCATACAATAAGGATGCCTTGAGATCTTTGTAATTGCATCTTTGTAATTGGACTCCCATTCCCTCATTGCCTTAAAGATCTTCAGGAGCTCGAGAAATAATGTGGTGCAATGTAAAGGTGGTATGTGCCATCTCAGCTGCTTCTAAGTTAACTTCACCCCTACCTCAGTGGCATAAGCTGAGGTCATAACTGGCTTATTCTTTACCACAATATAGTGCTCCCTTAGCCTTCTAACAAGCGGTTGAATAATGTACCCTATGTATACCAAACCTAACATCATTCCCATATATTGGGTTGTTCGGAAAGTAAGTTTGTTTTTTTCCATGGAAAAAAAAACAGTATTTTTATAATAAGTAAATATTTTATTGAATTATATATCAACCATTTTGGTCAAATACCTGTTGTCATCATTTCTAGTAGTTGCATGATTTCACATTCATAAAAGTTTTGATCGTTGCTTACAAAAAACTGATCCAAGTGATTTTTGACATTATCATTTCAAGTAAATGTCTTACAGTTTAAAATAATTTGTATAGACCAGAACAAGTAATAATCTGAGTGTGTTCGATCTGGCAAATATGGTTGGTGTGATAGCATGTCCCATCTAAGTTATAACAGTTTCTGACGAGTTACCAAACTTGTGTGAAATTTGATATTATCGTGGTAAAAAACTCACCTGTTTTCTTGATCAATTCTGGATGCCTTTTCTGTTTGATGATATTATTCAATTTACTTACTCGATTTAATTATTTTTATACTTTCAAATCAATTGTTAAATTGTCTGGTAAAAGCTCCAAAACAGAAATTTCCTTAAAATTCCACCAAAGAGAGTATCTCTCTTTAAGAACATGTGAAACCCATATAATAAGCTTTGAAACGAAACCAATTTTAATCATAAACAGTTCAATTTGACAAATTTAATCTCTTAGTGATTTCACGTGTTGTTATTAGGCAGTTTGTTTTAATCAGTACCTTTATTTTGTTTTCATTGGCTTCAACTGGCCATCCAGAACGTGGTGCATCTTCAATATTGAAATTGCCAGAATGAAATTTTGTAAACCAGTTTTGGCACTGTCGTTCTGTCAATACATCTTCTCCATACACGTCACACAATTTTCATCTCGCTTGAACAGCATTCTTACCTTTTCAGTAATAAAAGAGCAAAATATGCTGAAAATGCTGCTTTTGTTCTTCCATATTTGATGGGACACAAAAAATAAACAATTGCACAAAATCAAACAAAATTTTTTACAAATAAGCNGTAGGTTAATAGCGATATACTAATATACTAATTACATGGGATATAATAATATACTACACTAATAATGGATTTTTTCATACTTTTCGGTTATCCAACTTTTCAATTATCCGACCAACCCCAGTCCCCAATTGGGTCGGATAATCGAGGCTCTACTGTAAATGAAAATAGCAAATTTGCCAACATCTTATTTACTGATAAAAACATATCTATGTTAAGTAAAGACAACCATTAAAGCTGTGTTAATTAAATTTCTACTGCATATAAAAAGGGATTGCTGCAAATAATTTTGTGCGTTAATCAAATCCCACTTTAAGCAAAAGATACCTGTATGTATTCTATAATATAGCTGTGAAAAAACCCAGAAAAATTAAATAAATAAATAAAATTTATTTATGTAATTATTTATCTACAAGCTTGTCCCCCCTTGGAAAATTTTCTGTGGACACCCATGTTTATGTCTGTCATAAAAGTGTATTAAGATGGAAGATTCTACAGTAAAGATAATACAGTAATTTAATTCTAAATGTTAATTGCTATTCTAATGAAAGTAATGTGTATATATAGTTAAAAAATGTTTAACGATAAATTACAGATAAAATAATCATAAAATGTCTTCTGAAATAATTGTAAATAATTTTTTAATGAATGAATCAAACATTGACTCAATATTTAAATAATTTTTGTAAAAGTTAAGATGTAATCATTTTTATATAATAATATATTTATAATTGTTATTATTTTAAATAATTCAAATTAATATTATATATTAAATTATTTTTTGTATAATTTTGTATATTAAAATANGGCACTGTCATTCTGTCAATACATCTTCTCCATACACGTCACACAATTTTTTTCTTGCTTGAACAGCATTCTTACCTTTTTGGTAATAAAAGAGCAAAATATGCTGAAAATACTGCTTTTGATCTTCCATATTTGATGGGACACAAAAAATAAACAATTGCACAAAATCAAACAAAATTTTTTACAAATAAGCCTTAAAATGCTAGCTGTCAAAATATATAATGATAATACGGTTTAGAATGAAAATGGCGGGAAAAATACGACTAATCCGTCTAGTGGTAAAAAAAACGAACTTACTTTCCGTACAACCTAATAATAATAATTTACTAAAACTCATCTGCATAATTTGATGAATTCATAATAATTAATGATTAAAACTAACTAAAAAATCAAAAAATGAATTTTAAATTATCAAAACTTTTATCTTGAAAATTATTATTAGCCTGTAAAATCTCAATGCTGAGCAAAACCTCATTTTGAAATATATTTGGTTAGTTGATTACATTTTATTGATGCAACACCATTTTGGCCATGCTGCACCATAAATTATATTTGGACACAACATGTTTTAAAATTTATAGATTTATTATAAAATATATAAAGATTTTTTAACATTAAAATATAAACATATTTACTCAAATTTCAGTTTTTATCTCATTTGAAACAGTTTAGAACAGGGATGTCTAGCCCGTGGAGTGCAGCCCACTTTATATTTTTATGCGACCTAACTGAACTCTCAATTTTTTAGATACATTTTCATTTATTTTGGTAGAGTATGTCATAAAAATTATTCTCATTTCACTGGATACACTTTGATGTCATAATGACGTAATTGGTGACATAATTTGTAACTGACCAATCAAAAATGTTGGCAATACAATCTGTCATTCTGATTGTTTCAGTTTGGATTTCATTACAAAAATCAATTCAGATTTTTGTAATGAAGTGATGTTAATGATAAAGAATGGATACTTTTCATCAGGTGGATGAAAAGGACACGTAATCCTTCTTTTCAAAAGAGTATCATTCATTTTTAGCGATTTGTGGCTAGGCCTAATGCCAAAGTGGAAAGGTCTAATTTATTCTTTATAGAAATAAAGAATAAATTAGACCTTTTCACTTCAGCATTTTTTCTAATTATNTAATTAATAAAATTTTATCACAAAATGTAAAATTCAAAATATACAAAGTTCAGAAATGTATAAAAATGATAAATTTAAAGTCTACATCTTTTTATTTTTACAGTTTATCATTTAATCATTTGAAAAAATAATGCTTTATTTATCAGGAAATTAAGAAATGCACCATAACAAATTAATATGTATTTATTTCAAGACAATATATCATTTAAAAGTCATGCAAATTTTGTATACTATTGATACAAAAAGTATTCACAGAAGCTACGTAAATGACATAATAGTTTTCAATCACATGCTACAGCTAAATCTTTGTATTACTCTGTATTAAGAAACATTTTAAATTTAAAATTAATATGCATTAAATGGAATTTGTAATTGTGACATTCTACCATTTTCATGGTAGAATGTCACAATTTTTTTTTGTTCAAGTTGAATATGGCTGATCAAGACAATCAACTTTTTATGGATTTCTGTGATTGGATGTAAAAAATTTTATATGTATTTTTCCAAAATTAAAAAAAATAATACACATTCTAATAATTTATTAAATACTTTCAAAATATAAGAAATTACATTCTATATAAAATTTTCATACATACAACAACATTCGTGGACAATATTTTTTAATAAAAGTGTGTCACTCTTACTTTATTTATCTGATTTCATCATGAAAACTTTGTATCTAAAAGAAATAATAATGATAAAAGCTAATTTTCATTGCATTATGAAGAATATTAAAAGTGATCTTAATGTGAAATCTTATCAATACAGATCAGTCTTTTATTTTTACAAGATTACAGAAATATTTTTATTCATAAAGAAATCTGGATTTGTTGTCATTCAAAATAATTTTCTTCTCAGCAAAATACTCCATAAAAATTCATAATGAGAAAAACATTGTATTTTATGAGTAATTAATTACATTGATAAAATTTCTTTTAAAAAAACTTCAAAAACTGCAGAGATAAAAAGTTTTCATTTTCTTATTATGTATTATTAAAACACTGTCCCAAAGTTGTTAATAACAAATAATAAATTTATCACAAACAATTTGTCTCAAATGTTAAAAAGTATAGCATTTGAGGAAAACTGAAAAAATAAATAAATCTTTAAATATCAAATATTTAAAAAGTAACTAATAATATCTCAGAACAAATTATGAACAACAAATGTTAATATCTCATATACAAAACCTCTGAAAGGTTGTTTCAATTATTCTGAAAATATTTGAAACATAAGTGTTTTTACTATATTATAAATAATGTATTTTTATGTGTAAATATAATATAATATACAGTGTACATTATGCATATTATATGCCTAAATATTTATTATATACAGTTTTAAAATAACCAAAATGAATTTTTAATTTTTTCAACAAAAAACAAATGCAACAAATTTTGAAATATAAATTTTGTTAAAAATCCAACAAGAGATAGATTAATATTTATATATATTAAAATTTATATATATACTTCCTATTATTCAAATAATCAACAAACAAAATATGAATTTTACATTAGATAACAAATAACTTATGAATTATTCATCAAAATAAGTATTAAATGAATAACTTGATCATCAAAATACCACATTTCTGAAATAAGCAATTCAGAAATTTATATGTAATGTATATTTATTCAAACATGACAGATCATGTCCTAGCATTTTATATAAAAAAAAAATTCTAATATAGTAATCAATAATTAGTTAATGTCATTTGTAATTTATATGATCTAAAGTGACGTTCATTAATGCTAAAACAAATTCTTATGGATTCTGACAGATTGTTTTTTATTTCAGAATTAAAAAATGATCTGTTTTAGTGTTAATAAACTTCACTTTATAATATGGAGTTGATCATCCTAAAGAATTATGATCAAAATATAAAATTACAATAACTAAATTACAAAACTTATTTTTTAAATTAAATTACAATAGCAAAAATTATTTTATAAGTTTTAAACAAAGTTTTAATTTTCTTATTTCTTGGATTTCACTTCACTGGTTTCTACATCCCAAACCATTCTTTAGCTGAAGACTTTCCAGAATTCTAATGCCTAACAAATAAAATCATTTGATTATTTATGTTTGAAACTTAACTTAATTTTTTATTCTATTATTATTATTATTATGTTGGGTTTTGTGAGTTATACTCAGTTCACACCGGTGGCTGTGTACTATGCCGGACCAGAGTCAAGGCATAGCAATCAAATCAAAACTAAAATTAAATAAGTGTGTCAGTGTGTGTGTCTGTATTCAGGAATTTCCTAACAATGTGGCATGTATTCAATATAGTGGCTTTCTGTAGTGTGATGTATGTATTTTTACTCAATTGTAATGTTCCCAGGCTTTTATGTAGTGTGTGTGGTATCACACCTGTACAGGAGAGAACAACAGGTACAATAAGCACCCTGTCCATCCTCCACAGATGCCTTATTTCCTGGACGAGTTCTGTGTACTTGCTAATTTTTTCAGTGCATGTGTTTTGTACATTGCGAGTGTTTGAAATGGATATGTCTATAATGTATGTGATTTTATTGTGTTTGTCAATGAGTGTGATGTCTGGTCTGTTGTGGTAAATTGTTTTATCTGTGATTATGGCTCTGTCGTA